ATTATTTCAGCAGACGCGCTGTTTAAGGGGCAGCTGCTCCCCAAAGATGGCCTGAGCCCACGGTTCCTCCACTGTCACTCTGTTACAGCCCTCGAGTCAGAAGTGTGTGACTTATTCATGGCTTGCGCAGTTCCGCTGAAGAGCAGGCCGAACTACTCCATTTGCCTCTCTTTTATGCAACTTATATAATAGAACTTGTTTTCATTTTTAATTGAAATGTTTAATATTAATTTGAATTACTAATAATTACACACACTCACACACTCACACACACACACACACACACACTCACACACACACACACACACACACTCACTCACTCACACTCACACACACACACACACTCACACACACACTCACACACTCACACACACACACACACACTCACTCACTCACACTCACACTCACACATTAATATTAATAGGTTATAAGATTTTTATTGTGTATAATGATGCAATATTAATATACATATTATATTATATAGTCTATAAAATATGAATGTTCCATCAGTATGCATCATTTTAATTGTGCATATTGATGCAATATTAGTATAAATATATGAATATATAGGTTTTATGATAAGAATATTCAATTTAATATGCAGAATTCTAATGTATATCATATTGTATATCTATGTATATCGATGCAATATTACTATATAATATATTATTATAGACTTTAAGATATGAATATTCCAGAAATATAGATACATTTATTTGTGTATATCAGAATCGAGCATGCCACGGAGGCAGCCATCAGCGTCGGCGCCATCTTACTAATATCAATATATTGATGCAATATTAATATATAATATTGCATCAATACGGTGAAACTGATTGCAGGGATATAACTAAAGACAGGACAAACTAACAAAAACATAAAAACAACTGCGGAGCACGCCACGGAGGCAGCCATCAGCGTCGGCGCCATCTTACAAATATCAATATATTGATGCAATATTAATATATAATAATCATGTATAGTATATTAGATGTGAATATTCCATTATGCACTATTCTAATTATGTATATTGATGAAATATTAGCATATATTATAATATGGGGTAAATATATGAATATTCCGTCTATATAAATCAATTTAATTTTGGTGTACTGATATTAATATAGGCTATAAAATATGATTGTGTATAATTGTATGTATTGATGCAATATTAATATATGTTAATGCATAATAATGCATAGAGTATAAGATATGTATATTCCACCAATATACACAGTTTTAATTTTGCATATTGATGCAATATTAGTGTATAAATATTAATATATAGGTTTTATGATAAAAATATTCAATTTAATAATCACAATTCTAATTATGTATATTGATGCAATATTAGTATATATTAATATAGACTATAAGATATGAACATTCCATAAATATACACACATTTATTTGTGTATACTGATTCAATATTAATATATAATAATATGAATAATATATAGTATGTTAGATATGAATATTCTATTATGCACTATTCTAATTATGTATATTGATGAAATGTTGGTATATATATTAAAACATGGGGCAAAAATATGAATATTACATCAATTTAATTCATTTTCATTTTGATGCATTAATATATAGGCTATAAAATGTGATTGTGTGTAATAGTGTATATTGACACGATATTAATATATAGAGTATACGATATGAATATTCCATCAATATACACAATTATAATTGTGCATATTGATGCAATATTAATGTATACTATATTAATATGTAGTCTATAAGACATAAAATTCTAGTAATATGCACAGTTCAAATGTAGATTCTACAGCATATAATACTTCAGCTTCATTCATCGCACCAAAAGATATATATGTGTGTGTGTGTGTGTGTGTATGTATATATATATATATATTTATAAATAATAAATAATATTAGAAAATGAAATAATAGCATAAAAGGTGCTTGCAATAGTTGCTAATAGAAATAACAGTGTGAGTTTTTTGAGTCTGGATGAAGCTTTATTCTGAGTGACTCCACGTGCTTGTGTTGCCTTAATTATGAAGTAAACACACACACACGCACGCGCACGCACACACACACACAGCAGCTGTCACACACACACACAGCAGCTGTCACACACACACACAGCAGCTGTCACACACACACACAGCAGCTGTCACACACACACACAGCAGCTGTCACACACACACACAGCAGCTGACACACACAGCAGCTGTCACACACACACACACACACAGCAGCTGTCACACACACACACACACACACACACACACACAGTGTGACAGTGCTGGTGAAGATGCGCGTCTGACAGCAGCTCCGAAGAAACAAAAGCTCTGAGGTCTGAGGCTCCTCCCTGTGTGTGTGTGTGTGTGTGTGTGTGTGAGCTCAGCTCAGTAAAGCTTCATCTCTAATAGGATGAGCAGCCGCTCGCTCGTGTAGCTGAATGCGCCGCTCATTGTTCGCTTCGCCGTTTCTCCGGGGTTTCCGCGGATCGATCGATCAGTGATCGGGATTTCTCATGGATCTATCGATGTGAAGACGCTGTCACACGCGGTACGTACATGAGAACAGCGCTTGAAGTTGAGCGAGAGCCGCTCCGTTTATGACAATGATGATGATGTTTAGAACGATATATTGTTTCTTTCTGTGCCGCGTTACTTTGATCTGCGGCGCGGAGGGCTGGTGACGTCACTCCGCTAAACTTCTGTAATGCGCGCGTATAAACTCATTCATCAGCTGAATGCGAGTGTGGAATATAAGGGTGTGACGGAGAGCAAACAACATCGTGCTTTGCTGATTTAAATAATTGCACTCATCAGTAATAAGCGGCTGAGATGGAAATACATGTCATTGCAACGGAACAAATGTGTGATTGTTGCAGTTTTGCGTGTATTTTCTGAATGCACGGACAAATATAAACACAGTCTGATGGATATGATGTGATTCGGTCATTTGCTTCTGATGCATGAAGTTAGTATTGTTCTTATTCTTGAGTATTACTGTATCTCCAGTGTCTCTAACAGGTTTAAGTCTCAGTCAGGTTAGAACTGTGTTCAGTTACTGAAGAACATCACAGCAGTGCGAAACCTCATCTGGAGGTTTGTGAAGCCGGTCGCTCTCCTTTGACCCCGGAGGTCATGTAGGGTGTGTCCGTGTCAGCCGTTTCTACCACTTCATTCCTAAATGAACGCAATCCGACAGACTTCTCCTGTAGCAATGAAACAGCATCTGTTTGGGCAGGACGGCAGCGTTTAGTCGGTCTCAGCGGTGAGCGCTTGGGTCTGGAGGCTCAGAATAAAATAGTGTTTGTTAATCTCATTGTCTGCTGTGTATTGTTAAAAGCGCTATATAAATAAAGGTGACTTGACTTGACTTGACTTGACAGTTCTAATAATGTACATTGATGCAATACTATTATATATGCTATAAGATATGATTATTCCATCAATATAACTACACAAATAAAAGAAAACTAAAAAAGATAATGAAATAAATAATACCTATATGAATAATATATATATATATACAGTATATATGTGTGTGTGTGTGTGTGTGTGTGTGTGTGTATATATATATATATATTTATAAATAATATATAATATTAGAAAA